TATGTTTATGAGCAGGCCGCAAAAAGCCGCCTGCTGCGAGCTGTGGAAAAAGATAGAGAAAAAAACACTTGAATAAATGTGGTATGAACAAATGATTCTTTTCCAATCAACACTCCATGTTGGAGATGATGTGACATGTTTACCAATCAGTGGGTTTGTTTGAAAAGAAGTTAATGAATAGTAGGTAAACCCTGGATGAAGTCGTTCCTTTCTCCGCCTTTTAGGTGACGCATTATTTGACTCTGCTTCCCGAGTTCACAACCAAGCGAAAACAACAAAAAGAAAACGGTTTGAGGCCCCAGGCCTCTGCTGCGCACGAGCCAACTGCTCAATCTGTCTCTTGATCTCTTTGATTTCCTCCGCGTCTCGTTGGGAGTCTCATCAAGATCAAGAGAGGCGTGTCCAAGGACCAAGGAGACTGCGAGGATTCGACAGATTCTTAAGGATCTTAGTCTCAATCCTAGTCTGCCATCAGGAGCTGTCGATCCGGAGCTATCCTTAAACATTAAGACCTGTCAAACTGAAGATCAATAAGGATAGCAGGCAAGGAAGAGACTGTGAGACACAATAATGACTCTAGCACTGCGGCAGTGCCATCTGCTTCAAAACTGCGAACCCAAGGGCACCACCTCGACCAAGGGCACCGGATGTGGCTTTACAGCCTGACCCAATGAACAGGTGTCGATTCGACTTGATTTGATTCCCAATAAGAAGTGATCTCATATCCAATGGAGGCAGGCTACCAGGCACCATGAACACCCTGTCGCCCCATGCCCTTTCCATACTGCAACAACTTCTAAATCCGACCGTGAGCTGAGGAATGTCTTGGAGGTGAAAATACTTCCTGAGAATATAGTCTTTGGGGTCAAAGGGCGTCCGATTCGGATGGTCCTGGACCCTTAGGGGTTAAAATGTGCTAGATCCTCCCTAACATCCCAAAAATTGGCGTCTGATTCTTGTCAAGAGAACTTAGCATGTGAGACTTGGCCAAGTGCGCTGTAGCTTATCAACCCGGGAAAAAAGGTGTTCTGTAACTCACCCAAACTGTTTCATCTATTCCTGGAAGCCAAAACAACTAGAAACACATTGATGTTTTCCCTAACAACCGCTTGTATCCACTTGTTATGTAAAGGATCTCCATGGACATGCCTAGTCTTCATTAGGCAATATAAGTTCCGCCTAACTTTATTTAGGCTGAACATGATGTTTCTTTTTACTAAGAACGCCTAAGCTGCAGCCTCAAGGTTTAAAGAAAAGGTGCCTTTGTCCCATGCTTAGGCGTTCTTGCCCCCCACAGGCCTTCTTGTCCCCTCTTGGTGTTCTTGTCCCTTTGGTGGCACTAGGGATCCACTCTCCAGTGGCTCCAGAATGTCCACAGTGAGAAAGTATGAGAAATTTATCTGTATATCAGGAATTTACTTGATGCTTCACTTGCATGTTGTTTATATACTGCTTCTATGCTTTGATTCATTGTGTAAGAATCTTTTTGCGTAGGTGTTCTTACCCATTACCTATAGGCGTTCTTGCCCGCTACTTAGGCGTTGTTACCCGTTCACCTTCACTACAAACAGTCGTTGGGTGGACAAGGGCTATGAGTTCCAAGAACTTTAGATCGGAGACTAGCAGCAAGCGTTTGCTTTCTCAAAAGCTGTTTTACTGTGTTACCCTAAGAATCCAAGTAGTGTTCGACCCCTCCTGAGGCCATGTCCCCTCGTGAGATTCTCGCGAGGGCCCAGATGGGCTTCAGATCCATGATCATGCATAAATTGTGTCATCCTACCATTGCCCCTTGTTACACAAAAAAAGGTCTGGGTAACCAACATGACACATGAGGACAATCCACCATTGGTTCCGTCCCACACCTTCAAGCGCAGCCTGTTTCCATCGGTGCGATCAGTGTCATGCCCACACCTCCGCAGGGAGCCTCAGCATTCCTGGGTGGGGGAAAAGAGTTCTAAGCTCGCCCCGGGAATTTATCACGGAGTTTTGAATGTACTTGAAGAAGGTATCGCTCCAAAGTCCGTCGCGAAACTGTGCTACGGTGCGTAGCGCGAGAGATCCGCCCAAGAATTCCAATAAAGCTTTCAGCAGTAAGTAGTGTGGAGCAAGCGGGGTTTACAAAAGATCGCGCCGTGTCGTGCGCAAGATGCCACAAATGATGCAACTTTGGCAACAAGAGCCAGCATTTGTAACCTGGACGGCCTCTTTGCGCAACCTCCCTGGTCATTCCGACCTTGTGCAACCAAGAATAGCACTGCAAGTGCTTCAAAGCAAACGTCTTGAAATCTTGAGCCTCAGATGGACTCAGGATCAGCTCTCCATTAGACATGATCTCCAGCATGCGCTTGTATGCAAAGATGCACGCAGCAACAACTCTGTCATGTTGAGTTGCTCCGTCGCGCATGGCAAACTTTTCAGCCTCGAATGCTAACCAAAAAGTCATAACCTTTGAAGGAGCAGCCTTTGAAGCGAGGCACGGAAAACCTGATCTTGTCTCATGCAAAAGAAAAAACATAAGAACTGGACCCACGGGAAATCAATAGACATGACGTCAAAAAAAACCACCCTGAACATGCAAAGCTGCTCTAACACTCGGCGATATGAAGTGCATATCATGTCCACTGTCCACCTCAAATATATAACAAACACCGCAAATACACACCGCAAACATGTTGTTGAACTATGTTTAAGGAGCTTGTTCTGCCTCTCCGGCAAAGTCTTGCCGGAGTGAACTTCGGCTGTGAACATTGCAGCTTGTGAAGCTTCTTGTATGCCAGGAATTTCCGGTGAGCGAAACGAAGTACCCGTGCCAGCTTGTCTGGATAGAAACCAGGACCACTCATAGATCCAAACCATTCACCCTCACATAGGTGTACCAACACTGCTCCTCACTGAACAATTCAGAAATAGGAAAACTCCTAAAGCGTCAAGCGCCAACGCACGTCTACTATAAATAACCAACCCGTTATAAAACATAACAGAATCTCAAACAAGTGGCCATTCGTCGTCTTGCCACTGCCCAACAGCTGAGAATGACATACATCGTGTTGAATTCGAGACATTGCTAAGGGTAGCCTGAAGAGATCAGAATATGTTGTAACCATGTCAACGTTGTCATATCGACGTTCTCCAAAATGGTCAGGGTTGTTTGGAAAGTACGGCAACGTTTTGTACACGTCACGATCGGTCTTTGTGCAATAGCATCGAGAGCAAAAGTCGTTCCGCCTATAATTGAAAAGTCCACCCATTCGATCACATATCCACTTCAGATCACCCTGGACCCCTGTGAAGCATACCTTGTATCCTTTTTGTGTCCAAGGCCAACAAACAGACGGATCAGACAATTGTCGAAAGGATTTCACAACATGTTGGATGCAGTCATTGTAGGTAAGATCTGATTCGTGGTGCTCAGACCACACAGCAGTTGCAAAATACCTCATCAATGGATCATTCCGGAAAGATAGGTCTGCAGTAAAGGCCACCACAGAAACAATTCCACATTCACTATTTCTGTAGGCCTGGACCTCATCGCCATAAATGCTGACTCCAGCAAGTTTTCCCCGGTGAGGCCACAACTTTGCAGGATGATCAGCAAACCAAGTTCCTTTTGCTTCCAAATGGTCCCAATATGTTTGGACATCTTGTTCCGTTAGCTCACCAAACAAACACCTTCGAAAAACATGTTCGCCTCTCTTCCACAACGCAAGGCAGAACTGATGTGGGAGGATCATGGGCATTGGTTGCCATGACTCTTCGAAAGTGGACGGGTTGATCATGCGGACTTGTTTGTTTTCAATTGCCGCATCAAGGTGTTGAGATAGCCGTGCTAAAAGCCTTTGTGTATCCCTTTCAGCGTTGGCTGACCATTTCCCGGAAGTCGCAACTCGAGAAAGTTTTGTGACAAGATCACATTGAGAATCTTTCACTTGCCCACCATGGTTGGTCAACCATTGCACTGCAGAGGCAGCAGTTTTCTGAACCTGCATCATGTAGTGCTTATAAACACTTAGACTTACATGTTGTTTTCTCAATCTATACGCGGTTTAAAAGAAAAACTATGTTTGACGGCACAGCCAAAGCACCTGGGTTGCACTGGTCTTTCTAGAGGAAAAAGCATCCACAAGCAGTGAAGCAAACTCTGGGGGACGAGTCTCTCGCTTGGGCAGTGCGGCCTCTCTAGCCTTCACAACCGCAGGGGCCGTGTGTGGCCGCAACGTCGGCCGAGGCTTCTTTGATGGCAATGGACTCCGAGCTGAAGCACCAGCGCTATCCTGAGAAGGGGCGAGCATGGCAGGGTACACCATGAACGTAAACAGCTCTAGAAACTCATGCGATATGTTTGAAGTGCGGTCATGTTTTGACAAAACCACGGTCCTTTCTTTTGCGGTTTGTCTCATGGCGAAGAAGTCCTGGAGCGAAGGGCAACGGAGAGCACACATGATATGTCAACTAGGGCTTGGGGTGTATGGTCACAAGGTGGTGGTGCTGGTGGACGATGTCTTCACGAATGGAGGATCATTTTTGTTGCTCGTTCGCCACTCCGTGTGAAACGGAACCCATCACGGCTGGGCCGATGACGTTGGAAATTGCACATGCGCACCCTGTGCCCAACATCAAGCTATGCCCAAGCACATGTTCACGCCATGCATATGAGAACTTTACTCATATGGTAAACCCCAAAAAAAGCCTCAAGGTTCAGTAGCAGCATTGGTTGCCTTCTCATCTGCCTGCGACAACTTCATATGGCTCTATATTTCCCATGAATTATGGGTCCCTTGCCTTCTTCTTCGTTCCCTTCTTCTTGCACAAGCGGCTAGCCATGAGCGCGCTGTCAAGGTAGTTCTGCCGAGCAGAAACCGCAGCATCAAGGCGATCTGGGAGATCACTGAGATCATGCTCGGAGTCCTTTGTGGTCAGAAGGGGGCAGATAGGAAAGAATAGTTTCTTCATTGGCATGGCCACCCCACAACAATGCTAGCATAGGTTTAAAAAAAAGGGAGTCACGCCTTGTTATAGGCATCCCACATAGCTTTCAGCTCGAAGTAGCCCTGTTCCAAAGCACTGGCTTGCACTGTGAGCGTGTCACCTAGAGGCCAAATGCACTGACTCCACAAAATCCTGTTTGGGGAAGATACATGACATAATTTGCCATTGGGGTACGCAAGGTCTCCTGACACTTCACTCCTGCCAATTTGATCGGCCACATTTTGGCTTCAGCCAAATCTTTCAGCAATTGGGTCACCATCCACTCCAATCCTGGTAGGTGTCCCTCAGGCATCTCCTTCCTAAGATAAGACAAATCCCACGGCTATGAACATACCAACATACCATAGCATACCCATATCTATGCATTACAGTTTTTCTCGCGGATAGGAGCTGAGAGTCGACCTTCTAGGCTTCTTTGGTTTTTCAGGCGCTGGCTTCGGAGTTGGAATCTGCGTTTCCTTTTGGTATGCCCGTAGCTTGAAAGATTCTTGTATGGCAAGACCCGTCAGAAGCTTATCTGACGCCTGATGACAGCAAAAGACAAAGTGTAAAATGCATGTGTTTAACTGTTCGATTGGTGTGTGCACAACGTATTGTTTGGAGCCTCGCAACCATGCTCCAGTTTTGCAGAGTTTTCCAATGACAGCTTGGTCTTTGACTCTTCCACGTCCTTTTTCGAGACATCCGTGCATACCTAGGCGCAAACGGTAAAACATTGCTACATAAAGAGAGGTTGTCACTTGTTGTTTACCACACATGTGATCACATCCTTTGTGCCGTATGGTCGCGTAGTACATTGTGACACCTGGACAATCGGGATGTGGCTGGGTCAAACCCTGCGCAGTTTTCTCCTCGATGATCCGGTCGACAATGTCGGTATCTCCACCGTGTAGGGTCAAAAGTTGGGCTCTGGTCAGCCAACCTTAATATGGATTGGGTGGGGTGACCGGTCGGCTTGGATTGTTCAAGTGGTATGGTTTGCACAGGCCGAGAAGCTCATCTTCTTTTGGGCAATGGATTTGTCAGTGTGGCTCTTAGAGGCTGTCACCTTCAACCTGCAGACGAAAAGAACGACGTGATCATTTCAGATCGAGTTTAAGAGTGATTAGACATAGGAATGTGCGCATGACGTGACTTGAAGCCCAGAAGCAAACTCCAGTTCTTTCCCGCTCCAAGCCACTTCTCAAATAGCGCTGATTTTGTTGCCTGGACATAGGTTCGAGCTTTGTTTACATAGGTGCGTGTGTCTGTGTGTGTATATGAAGCCCGCACATGCAAATATGACTTGACCCGAACAGGCCTTGGAACTGGTCCTGACAGCCTCCTGCCAGGCTTCAACAAATTCTGGACAAATATCGTTTGCATCAGGGTCACGCAGGCGCCTCCAGGAGCGATGAAGGGATGGATGGTTGCATGATGTTTTATGCATGATGATGACAACATAAACTAGCAGGCCCCATGAGAACAGGTGCAGAATGTGTGGTGGCCAGCCTTTTGAACTCACCCTGCAAAGCCTGCCGCTGCTTGTAATCAGCCGGAACTATGGGAGTGCCACCTTCCTGCACTTCAACTTTAACGTGTGAGACTGGCTGGGCTGGCTGGGATTTGCTTGCGGGGCTGTTCCCTGTGGAAGCTGTGGATCCTACAACCGCTCCAGTTTGTTTATGCTTGGGCCTGGTGGTGATTGGGCCTGGCTGAGCATTGATTGCAGGCGTCTCAATGGTGGAGGGCTGCCGTGTTGCTGATGCTTCGTGTTTTGCCAGCTGAGTGCCTTCGTGTTTTGCCAGCTGAGTGCCCTTGTTCTGCAGGGTTGGTTGAGGCACCTCGTGCTTGCTGAGGGTTGCTGCTGTGCTGTTTGGTGGCTCGATGGCTGCCAACGCAAATGGATGTGATTGTGGTGCTTGAATCGTGGCTGGCGTTGCCGGTGTCTTCACTCTTGTTGCTGGCTGCTCAGGGTTGCTCGCCTGCTCTTGCGTCCCTGCTGATGCTGCTGGCTGGTCAGGGTTGCTCGCTTGCTCTTGGGTCTCTGCTGATGCTGCTGGCTGCTCAGGTTCGCTCGCTTGCTCTTGGGTCTCTGCTGGTGCTGCCGGCTGCTCAGGGTTGCTTGCCTGCTCTTGGGTCCCTGCTGATGCTGCTGGCTGCTCAGGGTTGCTC